TTTAAGATTAATGAAGATTAATTATGCAACTTTTATTTCAGTATAGTCTGTAATGCTGGTTTAAGATTAAATTGATCTACATGCCAGAAAATGCTGTGCAAAAACTAAATGACATAAACATATTTTCCTATTGTTTTTGTTGACATTTGTTTTAGAGTCTTTATGACATCCTATATGACACTGGCAGGTTTTACTGTATGTTCCAAAGCAGGTGGTTAAATACACCAAAAACAAAACTTTTCAGCATTCATAATTTAGACAAAGCATGGGTTTCTTTTAGCTGTCATAGCATCTGTGCATACTGCATTAGTAGAGTGCACAGTGCATTTACTTACACTGGTGGTTAGGTGTAGATTTCCCAAGCCACTGATGGTTGATCTCCTGACCATATCGCTGGTTGACCCGCTGTTGCAGTGTGTGTTCTCACAGCTGCCTTCCTCTGCTCTCACTTGAGCAGTAATGCCTCTTTTTACTATTCACGGAAGCAGGCAGTCAACGGAAACCAAGTCACATGGACAAGCTGCAATCAGAAAGAGGTTCTCAAGCCCGGGGCCACAGGAAGGCGAGTGCAGGCTGAGCAGCTTTCAACCAACACTGCAGTTTTTTTTTTCTTCTCAACGCCACGACAGTAATTTTGTTATACTGTCAACTAAGGTTGGTAGCAGAACTGCCACCACAAAAACCCAATGAGAACACACCCTTCACACCCTCAGCTCATGCTGATCAGTCAACCAAGTAGAGAGGAAACCACTCAATGCACACACCCTTCCTGCCTGATTTTCTGGCCTTTCACTGCAACAGTCATCACAAAGCACACACATACACACAAAAACAAAATCATCTCTATGTATATATAGCAATGTACTGCAGGGTAACAACGCTCCTGTACCTAATAACAAAAGACAGGGAATCAAGAAGATGAGCGATGGATAACACAACTCATACCACAGCAATGTGATCTAGGGGAGAAATGGAGAAGTCCTCTAATATTTTATTTTCAACATTAGTTACAACATGGCTACTTCAAGTACCTTCAGTCATCACTATGTGTCACCCTTTCAGCTACTGAATGGACCTGAAGCTCTATTTTGTCATTTGGTTAAGTCCATTTATGAACTTGTTTTTAGTTGCCCATGGGTGCAAGAATGGGGAATTAGGAAACAGGAAGTGATGGTCCCGTCCTTGGAGAGCTGATTGCTTAGTGATCCCTTCCTGTTTTCACACTGGACATCTCTAGCTCTCACTTCTGACTCTGTTGTAAGTTTGAGAATTAACAAGATTTTCTTAGCGATAAGAATCCATGTTGAGGAGGATTTACTCTGCTTAAGTAAAACCAGAGAGAGAGCACATGAGCTGGTTGTACAAAGTGAAAAAACACAACAATAAGATGACCTGTGTTCACTGTCACTGTGTCCAGCCTCCACTGCTCATGTACAGCTAATCTCATATATTGCAAACATGAGGTTCACTGTGGGCCCACTAACATTAAGTTTCATACATAGGCTACACTTTGTCCCTACCAACCCTTGCAGTTTCTCCAGTGACCAGGAGTGACAGCAATACTGCAGAACAGTGGCAAGGACACCACAGAAGAAGAATGTTGGGGGCATTCTTGTGAAAGAGAGTTGAAGTTGTCATTCATGACCTTTGCTGCATGACCTTCTTCTATTATTCCATGTCATCTCTCTCCTGTCACTATCAAATAAATTAAAAAAAAACTGTAACTTAAAAATAAAAGAATAAACATTCTTTACGAGGTTCCTTGTGGAGTTTTTGACCATTAGTAGTGCTATCGAGCAGTTTAATGAGTTTTTGTTTGTTCTTGCGCACAGACATTAAGACGCAAATGCACGTGGGTAACGTGATACATGAAGAAGGAAAACACTGCTAGGAAGTGATCATGAATGTAATCAAACTTTTGAACTGCTCAGCTTTGTTTTGTGAGAAAGAAAAATCATTCTGCAGTATGATAGACCTGTCACTGTTAACCGCCCTGCCTTACATCTCTGGTCAGTCTCAGTCTGACTTGAAATAATATCTTCACAGTGGACATAAACTGTTACACGGGCATGGTCTACTGGCTTCAGATGTTACATGTACATGGTTTAAGTAGCTGTGTAAATCAGTATGTTCACTTCCACCTGTGGACTTGTGCAGTAGTGTGAACATGTGCAGCAGACGCGTGAATACCGAGAACTATTCTTTATCTGTTTCAGGACTTGAGGCCTCATCAACACATAGAATGAAAATTTGCATTCTATTTCTGAGAGCTGAGAGGATAATGTGGCAGTTGGGGTGTAAAGTCCCATGGGTGAGGGCGGGTGAGGGCGGGTGAGGGCGGGTGTGGGCAACTCATACCCAGCAGCAACAATGACAACTGCAAACAAGGATGAATTCTTAGTCTCTCAGGTTTAGTGTTTTTCTTTTAATTTCCTGTTTCACTTTCTTTCCTAACAGCAGATAGAGACATAATTCACATCTTCCACCTAATATCTTTCAAACATACATCACTTGTTTTTCAATATTATAAGCTTTAAATTTTACTGCTCTGCTGCAGATCAATGACAACAGATCCAGTTTTCGAAAACCTACTTGATACCAGATTTATTATTAAGCATAAGGTGGAAACCTCTATCTTCTTGAGACTTCCCTCTGCACATGACCGGGCTTTTCTGTGGTGCAAGGCACATATTTGTGTAATCATCTTGTCAAGTTGATCACTGTCCTCTTGTGGAAACAGGATGTATTACATTTTATAGGACCCCTCAAAAAAAATTAAGGTTCCTGAAAGTTTCAAGTCAGTCTTACACTGTTTGTGTTCTCAGAAGGATTTAAGATGAAGGAATAAATTATTTATGATGTAAAGATATTTCTAAAATTATATATAAACAAGTGCAAAAGCTCAAGTGTGACCTATAACACGGACCGTGGGACTGTGGTTTCTGATCTGACTGTCTCTCTCATCAGATCACTAGCTTCTCAGTTTTAAAGTGATACTAGCCTTTCCTAATGTTGTTAGAGGCCTGTTTGTTTTGCTCTGAAAAGCTGGATGTCAAAAACATGCTCCTAAATCCAGATAAAACTGAGATACTGTTCATTGGCCCAGCCCGACACAGATACCAGTTTTACCAAGTAACTTGACAACTGTTTGATTCCTCAAAGTCTGACAGTAAAGAATCTTTTGATCAGCACATTAAAGACATCTCTAAGATCACCTTTTGAGTCATATTTCACTACCAACCACCAACGTCAACCTCATGGTGGAGCTAGAGAAAAAAATCATCAATAGGATTCACATCGATGCAGGGATGTAATGGATTAATGTATGGGAACAAGGTCAATCTAAGGCATGTGTAACAGGTTTGATGGTGCTCTAAAGGAAACAGGTAGTGACACTGCAATTAGAAACACAGCCCGGAGGAAATCAGACTGACTGACAGACAGGCAGCGTTAAAACAAGTAAAGGTGAAGAGACTGACACTGATAAACAGTCTGAACAGCACAGAATGACAGGAAAGTGGAGAGACTGCTCTGTATTAGGAGACACTCAGACAGAGAAATTCAAAGACAAAGGGACCATATAAGGCAGCCACGCTCTTAGCATTGGACACACATATTCAATAAATCATTATCTTCTCCTATACACCGCAGCAGAACAGTGTGTCCACTGTGGTGTCTTTTGTCTCCTGCTGATGGAGACTGAGTGTCTGTGAGTGTGGCACTTTGGTTTTGTCTGTTTATCCTTAGTTATGATTCATGATTTCAAAACAAAAAGATGCTGCCTGAAATTTGTAAAATGCATCTCACAACAGACATACCAGACACATATTGAGAGCAGTAAAATGTTCCAGTCACCTGAATATAGCTTGAGTCCGGTGTTGCACCACCTTTATAAATCATTTTCTAAATGGTTAGATGAATAAAATATAGTAGCAATTTAGTGGGAGACTCCAGATAAAAATACCACCAATGTGAAACTTAAACTGTTTTGTTTGTCAGAGGAGGTGATTCAGGTTATTTTTAGGTCTTGTCTGTGAAAATATCTTGATGCAGTCTTTAAATTAGTATTGCTGAAGGCTGACTTTTGCTCTGCTAATGCAGGTTTCCTATTTTTGGCATATGTTCTTATATTTGTGAGGTCTTCCTGTTTACAGTTTAGTAGTGTTACTACAGCAGGTCAGGCATATGTGTGGCAGATACCAGCTTCCTGTCTTGAATAATAAGAGGCTCTAGGATTATTTTAGATATAAAAATAGGCTTTCTAACTGTTTATTCAGCCAACAGAAATATACTTATGATCCTAGCAATGTAAAATTTCAATATTTTTAGCTGTTGCTAAAAATATTGAAATTTAACAGCACATACATTATACATTGAAAGAGAACTTAAAACATTAAAACTAGAAAAATAATATACTCATTTAGTGAGATAATGTATATTATGATTTGGCGCTATACAAATAAAATTGAATCAAATTGAATTAAAAAAAGTGTTAATGACTAGATTCAAAATGGTGTCTGACAGTGAAGCTTAGCCTTATAACTTCCTGTTCTCTATAGTGGAGATCAGATGTATTTATATTCTTCTGTCTTCTGTGGAAACAGGTAAAAGATGAGAGCTGTGGACAGACTTCCTCTTGGTATAGTATATAGTAAATAGAGTAGTATATAATATAGACCATTACCTGACATACTTTTCATGCAGACTCACTCTCAGGCTGATGTGTGAACTGCCTGTGTTGCGCAGTTTCTTTTCATGCTGGAGGAACTAATGTATCTGAAGTGGTTCGTCTTGCATATTGCATAATTTGTCTCCATTCTTTACAGTAAATCAATGTCCTAAAGTAGCTCCTGCAGTTACTGTATAAGCATGTCATCACTAGCCTACACAATCCATGTATCTGCAAAACCTTTCATGGGCTAAGAAAAACAGTCCTGTTTTTCACCTTTGTGACAATGTATTTTTCACATAAATCAGTGGGATTTTGCATGATTCATTTATTTTAAGATTTAGGAATATTTCTCAACACGTAAAAGAACAATTTATCTGAACAATTCGAAATCACAAAATGTGGAGATACATGGTTTTTACCAGACCTTGACAATATGCAGTTTATAGGCTTGAGCTCTTTAGCTCTGAGTCTTCCTTCCAAAGTTCAGGGGACAGATTTGTGTAGCATGGGCTGGAAACATGTAGTGTAACTGGACAGCTGTGACTGCGCAGATAAATCGACAGGCTGTGGTATACAACCATCTGTGCTGCAAACACAAGCATCAAACCATCTTTGTTCTAAGAGTGGCACCTTATAGACTTTATTTTCAAACCCTATAACCATACAGTATCTATAGTACCATAGATAAAACCAATAAATAGTGTGTAATACTACAGTAGCACATTAAAAAGGACACACATTAACATGATACGGATATAGTTTCCACCATTACTGGCTGAGTATTTTAAAAGGGCAAATGATTCAGTCCATACACCAGTGTCCATGCACATGTGTGACAGTTGGTCCTTAAGTCCTCTGTTTGCCTTTATCAAAATACAACATTAGGTCACATTTGGCATAAAACCATTATAATCCAGTCACTGATTATAGTTCACCTGTGTTAACTCATACAACAGATAGCTATTCATAACAACGACTGTGTCACTTATTAAAATTATGTCTTAAAGTATTTGCCACAGTTTAGAAGAGTTTTGGCCTCATTCAAGCGGACAAAATATCAAGTAAATGTTCAGCACTGAATCACATGAAATTAAATTATGTTCCCCTGGTCTGTACATAAAAGGTCCAGCAGCTAAACTGTAAAAGTGGACACTTCCACGTGTATATGACTGTCCCCACACCCTTTTCCCTGTAGTCCAAAAACTGACTGGGTTCATGTGCCGCTGTAGTAGAAATGCCAACAGTCCTCTCTACGTATGTGAATAGAGTTATTTTGCTTGGAGGAAACATGACCACTTTTGACATGGTGCAACACACATGGTTGGCACTGTGTTGACAGTCAAAGTCCTGCACTCACCAGTGGCTTGATAATTTGAATGGTGGCACATGTTATTCTGCTTCTAGCCGTCCAGAGGTTTTCCCAAGTACACCATGGTGACCTCAGTGTTTCCGTATACTGCTGAGACAGCAGGGAATAGGCAGGCTTTGGGGAGTCCACGAAATGCTACTCCAAGAAACTCAAATCCTCTCTCGAAGGCTAACGTCTTGTCATCCATGTCTAGGATCACCCGAATTCTCTCACCAATCTGTGGACACATGATGACATGTTTGTGTTAGATTAAACGGACACCAGTACCACAGCAAACTATTTGGATCAATCAGTGCAAACGTTTCATCGTCATTTTAACAGAAGAATAATAGCCTGATGAGGATATGAATGACATGCAGACACAACTCCAGCTCCCACCTGATATTTTGGTGCATTGTTACACTGTGGGAAATTTCCATTAACCTCCCCATTATGAAGCAGGTTGTTGTCGACCAGGTTCCAGCCCCAGCTTTGGTCATCACTGCCCAGTAGAGCAACGTAGCCCTGGCACTGCATTGCTGCCCGCTTTGTGGCGATGCCTATCACAGCCACGGTGCCAAGGGGGCCTTCCCACCAGATCTCCCAGGCATGCCGTCCTTCCGAAAAGCCAATCTTGCCACGCGCACCATCCGTGCTCTGGGCAATAGGGTTGCGGTGCAGGGTAAAGCCGTTCTTCTTCACGTAAACATTGCGAGAGCAGTCATGGGAGCTCAAAGCATGTTGAAAGGCCTTGAGCTATAGAGGACAAGAAATGGATCAGTTAATTTACTGCTGTTATGGTTTGCAGAATCTCAGCTACAGTAATTGCATTTATTGGTGAATTCTAGAGATTTGGAAAACATCTGTTACTAGATATGGAGTCCTGCATATCCAAGTTGAGACACGGTCATGGATTTTGGTATTTCCACCATTGAGGACACAATGTGTTCCAACAGTCAGGGCTTTGGAGTTGAAAGTTTTTGTATGGGTGTTTCACAATGATCAACACAGGACTAACTGTTAATAAGAAAGAGCAGGTGTGCAAGGTTTCAATTTAAACTGGATTTTGGCATTTTAAAGTGTAGAGTCTGATCTATAACTGGATCAAAGTGAGGTCTAAGGACTTCCAAGATTCCTTGAGGCAATTGTACACGGTCCCGTGGAAAATAAAGAAATGTGTGCGACTGACAGTTCCATTCAGAGACTGCTCTAAATATAGGTTTAATTTTTCTATCATTTACCTGCATATGATGCAAAAGCTGTGATCTGATAAAATATGGGTCTATGGGCTAATGTGTGCTTCTGACAGCACCTTGTTCAGCCTGTTCCATCTTATCCTCAGTACTTTGACTCAAAACAACCTTGCACCAAACCCCATTTAAGAATCTGCCAATTTAATTCTTATGTCTTCATTTCATTCTTAAGGCTCTTTTGGCGTACGATGTTGTAGCATATTTATTTGTCCTGACGACGGTGTGCAGTTTGACTCACGCTGTAAGTGTTTGCAGAGCAAAGGTAACACTAAACGGGGAAATGTTCAAATGGATGTTGTGAACACTCACAGCCCTACCAACCGGACACAACAGTGGTACATTGGTAAACCTACTTTCCCCTTGTAGGTGGGCAGGTTACACAGGATGTCAGACCGCAGAGCCTCATCGCTCAGGGACCGGGTGCAGAGGCTGCGCCACACCTCGCTGTTTTCATCCGCGAGGATATTGTTCCAGTGCCAGCAGACCAGCGAACACCGCATCAAGTCAGACATCTCCAGATAGGAGAAAACATGCTCCAGGACCCGGGCTGGCAGCCTCCCGGCTATCCCCGCGCCTCCTCCGGCTGCGGCAGTGTAGGGAGAGCCGGCGGAGCTGCAACTAGCTGCCGCTGCTGCACCCAGACAGGAGGAGCCTCCTCCTCCACCGACGGCTCCAGACATTATAGTCCTGCTCCTCACCGACGACACCAGCCGACAGAATAGTTTGAGCTTACACCGAAGAATGATTACTAATTATGAGTTACATAGCAACATTTCCATGAAAACACACATAAGTCGCACTGGAACCACAACAGTACGGACCCTGCTCCCCCCACTTCAATGGCTGAATGGAAGTGATGCGTCAAGGTCTTGGAAGAGCAACTACACTCACTGTAATGTTAAAGAAATGAAACATATAGATTAATTAACAAAATTAGTAGTTGGTATAGATGTTACTTATAGTGGGTTATATCCTGGTGGGTTGATTTATCAGATGAAGAGAAACTCCTGCTCGAGTCAAATAAATGTTATGTCCTGTCAGGACCCCAGGGCAGCGCCGCCGTGGAGCTGACACGGTGTTGCAGTGACAGGATCCCGGACGGTACAGTATAGCAGTGTGACATTGTACCGACCATGGTACCGACCCTGTCAGACTAACAGCACAGAGGAACTGGACTTAACACAAATACCGGGGTTTCTAATAAACTCCAATTTCTGGCCTGTTACGTTCTTTTAATTTGATCCACAGTGCTTTTACTGACTGTGCTTATATTTAGAACTTAAAAATAAGGTTTAAATTTTATAAAAACATACAAACAACACATTAGAAGAAGAAAACAAAAATCAAATGATCACCTGAAAAAGCAAAGAGTAATATTAAATATTGGCAAACCACGTGACACTACTCGGAAGTGACGCGGGGTGCTCAAAAGAGTTCAGCAAAGCATCTGAGATCAAACCAGCATCAGCTACGTCTCATCTGACGGCAGAGGACCAGAGGGGGGGACAGACGGCCGGCCGGGACAGGTACACTAACTCACTTTTAGTTATTGTCCACATAAGAAGGTGTGTGTGTGTGTGTGTGTGTGTGTGTGTGTGTGTGTTTGTGTGTGTGTGCGCGCGTGCATTACCTGTGGTACTGGGACAAGCGGAGCTGCGGGACACAACTGTCTGTGTGCTCTGCGGCCTGTGGACAAGCTGCCCCCATTTATCCGCTGTCCGGGGCCGGTCCGGTGTTTTCCTGCGGTCAGACAGGTGAGCAGCAGGTCATTGTGGACGCAGGAACGTACCTGCAGCGACAGACACGCTCAACTAACCGCAGGCTGAGAGCTGAGCGAGACCATATTAACAAAGCCCCGTACGTACCTCTCCAGTTGTTCTGCTGACAGGTTGCCATCTTTATTTCTACAGGAACATAACGTCACCTGTAAATAAAACGCTGTGTGTGGTCGCGTGTGTCCTGAGGCTTGAGCTCTGCTCTCTGCTCTGTTGCTGCTTGTACGTCGCTGTGTGTTTGTTGTTATCAGTTTTGTGTTAGGAGCGAGATGACACAGCTTGTGTTGTTTGTCCTGATACGAGCTATTAGAGATTTGAATACACATGAACACCTTGTGGACAGCACGCAGTTACTGCTGCTCACTGTTCTGATGTAGAGCTATCAAATTGAGCTGCAACGTTTAGTCGATTAATTGAGTGGTTGATCAACAGATAATTAATCAACAACTAGAATTGAACCGCTGTAGTCATTTTATAAATTAAAATGCCAAACATATGCCCTTTCTAGCTCCTCAGATGTGACGATTTGCTGCTTTTCTCTGTGCTACATGATAATAAAGTGAATGTGTTAGAAACAAACAACATCTGAAGACATCGCCTTGGGCTCATGAAATCTGTATAACAGGTATTCTCAGTACTTTCTGAGGTTTTTATAGACAAAACATGTTGATTCATGGAGAAAACCATCAGCAGATTAATCGATAATGAAAACATTCCTTTGTTGCAGCTCTAATGTAAGTGGTTTCCATAAAAAGACTATAAAGTAGACTTGAGTTTGTGCTCACTCCATAACTGCCTAAGATACTAATATTCTGGTCACTAGACAAGAGTGGTGCATTTCATTTACTGTTTAAATTTTCTTTGTAAAGTGACGTAATGGTGTTTGGTGCACCGCTTGAGGACAGAATAGAGACAAAACTCTCCCCAAGTGTTTTTCAACTAATGAGCATCATGTGGAGTAGAAGTCAGGATCTAAGAAAGTCGTGTTATGCAACTTGAAACACAAATCTGACGTTATTGAATAAATGTATGAAACTGTTTTAGGAAACTGTTGAAATATCCATGAGAGTCAAAAGGTGTTGATTTCAGCTTTACTATACATTGTATTGTATACATTGTCAGATTACAGTAAAAGTCAAGTTAAGTGAACAGTAAGATGTTCTCTATGAGATGGAAGAGCTCATACCTTAAACATAAACTCAGCTGCGCAGTGACAGCTGAGTTTAAGGCATGTTTAAGGCAGCATCACAGTGCTTGCACTGAGTTAAATTAGGCGTACTGTGTAAAATATGAGACCAGCTCTGACTAAATGTTGGATTTGCAGTTATGAATATGTGTGGACAGCACATGAAAGATAAAGGAACAAAAGTGAATATCTGTTGTGACTGTGACCTGGCAAGGTCATCCCATATAAGCCGCTGGTATTCCTCACTGTTCTCCTCACTACATAATTATCTCATGTCCTCAGTACAACACGTTTGTTGCTTCACATCATTCTGATCACTGAAATGAAAGACTGATCTGTCTAAGTGCTGTCATGATGCATTCTTTACGCCATATACATTTAGTAGGTTTTTTGTGCATAAGTGATAATGATATACTCTCTCCTGTCCACTAGAGAGAGCTACACTAATGATGGCTACAGCTTCACTGTGAAAAGGGCAAACAAACCAAGCTACATTATTGAGATTAGTGTGACGGTTTTGATGGAATTAATCAAGAGCCTGTTATGGAACAATGAGTAACCATTGCTGACCACCAGCAGAGTTGGGGGAACATCTACACTTCATCATGCTTTGCTCTGTTCCATGTGTCTGCGTGGTCTGATTGGAAGATGTCAGGTCCATTTATACAATAGATAAATAATTGTAAACGACTTCTGTTCTTCTGTATTTGACTTGCTGAGGCTAAGCAGCTTTTGATTGCAGAAGGTTTAATTAGGATCAATAATGACTGCAGTCTGCTCTGTCTTCTGGTTAAATGTGACACAAGCTGACTGTGCTTGTTAGTTCATTTAGTTGTAGCAGTGAGGTCTCGGCATTGACTCTGTTTATCATGCTAGTGAGGTGTGTTTTAGATATTTTGTTACCACTTCTTTTTGTGTCTGACGAAGAAAGTTTCTCACTGACTGTGGAGAGCTGCTCATGGATCTGTGATAGATTTACCCAGTTGATCTTTACTTTAACAATGGGGGAATGAAGTCTGATGAAGCCTCTTTTCTGTTTGTTCCTGAAAACGATTCGTAGCTTCAGGGCTTCAAAGCAAGTACAGCAACATCTGGTTAGCAGCTTTTAAAGACTCGGGTCGAAGCTTCACAACTGATTTTCATAGTTTTAGTCTTATGTGAGCAATAAAAGTCCTTTTGTTCATTAAATGTAAATGTGACTGTGCAACATGTGACATAAAATTATGAATAAATAAACTGCCTGGATACAAAATATGCTTGTTGACACTGTATATGAATATATCTTACACCAGTAAGGTAGTAGCTTGGACTCAGTGTCACTGTTGTCTGATTTGTTTTAATCTCAGGGTTGATATTCATGTAACATTTCATGAGTTACAATGTGATGTGACTGGAGAATGAGATTTATTAAATCATCTGATTACTGTTATTCTCCTCTCTTTTTATGCCACTATTGTCCATCACATTAGATCACATAGTTTATCTGACAAACTTCCCAAACTGTCAAACTGAATGAAGCTTTTTCTGAAGATCTTTGAAGCTTCAGATGTACTCTGGCAGGCGGTTGTCTTCAGCCGATCCAAGCTGTTGAATCAACAATGTTGAAACAGTGAATTCTCAGCCATGCTTCATTGTCATATGCTCATCTCTACTCTGCATTAAATTTAACATGCCATGAAATTCATGTGGTCTATGCTTCTTTCATTGCAGTATCTGTGACGACGTGACCATAATGAATCCAGTGTACAGCCCTGCGCCAACAGGGGTCCCCTTTACCAATACTAAGGGTATAGGGTACCCAGGTAATTTAATGTGTTGATGTGTAATGGTTTAAGAAAATTTCTCACTCCCAAGAAATTATCCTAAATGAAGAAATTAACAAGGACTGACTTTTTGTTTTCTCTTCTCTGGGTGAAGCAGCTGGATTCCCTGTTGGCTATGCAGCAGCTGCTCCAGCATACACTCCCAGTGTCTACGCAGGAGCAAACCCAGCTTTCCCCAGTGGTAAGAAGGGCATTCTACTAATAAAATATAGAGATAGTGAAGACTCATACTTCATACATTCTCATATACCACTGTAGTATCATTAAATGAGGCCTGGCTGATAAGCAGAAAAATGTGACAGTTGAGCAAATGATTGAGTCTACAACTAGTGGGTAAAATGAAAGCATTCATTCTGTAGCAGTGTAGACAGACATTTATGTTTACTGAGCTACAAGCTCTAAGTTTCAGTCTGAAGACCTTTTTTCAAGCTGTAAAATCAAACTGCAAGCATTTGCCACCTGACTCTGATATAGAGAAAATCAGTCAAACTGCATTAGTCATACTAAAAAAAAAAGAAAAGAAAAAAGAGTCAAATCACTCCAGCTGCTCTTCATCCACAGCCGGTTACTGGAAGAGACTTGTACATTTGAAAATTGTCAGCACTAATGTGAAGCGTCTTCCTCCCACTCCAGGCTACGCTCCAGGCACTCCTTTCAAAATGTCCTGCTCTCCCAACACGGGGACTGTCCCACCATACTCCTCCTCACCCAACCCCTACCCTGCTGCTGTTTACCCTGTCAGGAGCTCCTACCCCCAACAGAACCCATACGCACAGGTCAGTACGTTTATGGTTTCAATTGCTGACAGACTTTGCACTGGTTCTGGCTTTAAGAAGTTTCATGGATTGGCCTCAGGCTGGCGCTATAATTTCTAATCCTTGGATGTTTTTGATGTTGCTGTTTCATTTTCTTGTGAATAAAATGTCACATGTCTTTATTCCTTTCTTCTGTGATCCAGGCATTAATACCCTCACAACAACAAGGCACTTACTATACACAGCCGCTGTATGCTGCTGCACCGCCTCATGTTATTCATCACACAACCGTGGTCCAGCCGAATGGGATGCCTGCAGCCATGTATGCCCCGCCAATCCCTCCGCCCCGCCCCAACGGTGTTGCCATGGGGATGGTGGCCGGCACCACCATGGCCATGTCTGCTGGTAAACCACAGTGTTTTATCAATCTAATGTTTAATTAAGTTTTATATTCACTGTTGGTCGTCATGCCAACCAACCTCATTGTTTGCTAGTGAAATATTTTATTAGGATTTTTTTGTAACAGATGCACAGGCGTCATTCATTTTATTACATTATTGTGGATTTGAAGAGAATTTTTTTTCGAAGTTGGAGATGAAGGAATTCAAATACATACACACATGAGCAGAAGACATCTGGCAAAGGCTAAAACTGAGGGTTTATTGTTTCTTTAAGAAGCAACATGATAACATTATGTGAAAACTATGTTCAGTATAATTTCTAAGTGTGAGATCACTATACACAGGTCAGTTGTGGTTAAAGATGAAAGAATCTGTAAATGTTGTGAAGTAACTGAAGTTAAAACAAATGATTCTCTATTGTCTTGTGTAACATGATTTATGATAAATATTGCTTAAAAAAGTTCGTTTCAGACCTGATTTGATTTAGACCTGAGGATGGAGCTTTAATTTAATGGCTTTTTGATCATGCTTTTGCATTATCTGAATATATATTTTCTAAAGTGTGGAACAGGAGGATCACCTATGATCAATAAAATCCTCAGACTTTACTTTATATAGATTACAGACTATTTACTTATGAACATGATAAGATATACCATGTTTGACATTGATGGATGCATATTTATATTTAGTGTCGTTTTGGATGTGTTTGTTTAAATCTGCGTATTATGTTTGTGCCCATGCGGCTGTGTTCATGTATTTGTTATTTTCCGATGTTGGAGATCTCCTGCTCCTGTGTGTCAGATATCCATATTTGGATGATGTTAATGTGTTATGTTGTTAGATACTGGTAGATAAAATAAAATTAAGTCAGTCATTCTTTCACATATTGAATAGAAAATATGGTTAATGGTGTTCACTCTGCTTCTCAGGAACTTTGTTGACGACTCCATCACCAGCGCCTGTTGCCCCCCACCCAGTCACGATGCCCACATATCGGCCTCCTGGCACACCCAGCTACAGCTATGTGCCCCCGCAGTGGTGAAGAGAGGGAAGCGTGAGTATGATGCGTGGATCTAAAACAATTCACTAAAGATACATGCAGATTTAAACTTTGTATTTCTACGTGTTGTTCTCCCTGCAGGTCAGAAGATGGTAGATATGCATTCACACTCTACTCCAGTGTTTTTTGCTCTTGGTGAAGACCTGTTCTGCCAGTGTCTGCAACCAGTTACTCTTCTTCCAGCATAATGTGAATCTAAAACACAACTACATAGAAAGAGGCCCATTCAGACAGGGGGGAGGTGAAGAATAGGCTCGTCCCCATGACCCCCTCTTAACGAAATAAGACTGCATCCCACGCCACACCCCAGCGCCAGCACCCCTACAACCTGCCGCATATCTCACATCAAACAGCAAAGCCTCCATGCAAACTTTTTGTGGACTGTCATGCAGGTTTTTATAGTTTAAACTCTTAAGTGGTGAAAAGGGAGTTTGGAATTGTTTTATTTTGTTGTTGTTTTTTTTTTTAATTTGGGAGAAGCATACGGTGTTGAATGCATGTGTATATATAAATATATGAAGTATTGCTAGCTCAGTCTACCTGCTGTGACAGATGCAAAATCAACAAAAGGCACACATCCAAAGGAACTTAAAAAAGTAATAATCTGCAATGCTGAATCACCAGTGACCATGTCTTATATGTGAAAGAAAAGACAAGAAACGTTTCTTCATGCAAAAACATACCTGCACAAATCAGTGCAGACTAAACTGTACTATTTTCACTGCTTTGTGTTTTGGTAAGTGATGCTAGGTTTTTATTGTTTCTTTCAGTGATGCAGTATATGCATTATGTCTTACCATTTTTGTATTTTAGGAGAAAGGTCGAACTTTGAGTTTATGCCTCTGACTGATGGCCATACCTACACTTCATCACTTCATGTGTTTTATTTTTCCTGCCACGCCACTTGTTTTAGGAAAAAAAAAACCCATCTGAAGCAGCTTTTGTTTCCTGCTTGAAACACTTCTGTGTTAATTCACTTATTTTAGCTGCAAATATTAGTGGTGGGGAGCAAGCAGAGGATGTTTTTTTTATTTTTTATTATTTGCACCGTGTGTGTGTGTGTGTGTGTGTGTGTGTGTGTGTGTTGTGTGTGTGTGTGTGTGTGTGTGTGTGTGTGTGTGTGTGTGTGTGTGTGTGTGTGTGTGTGTGTGTGTGTGTGTGTGTGTGTGAGAGAGAATGAGAGAGAGAGTCTATGTGTTTGCATGAAAGGACTAAAATAAAAAACCATTAAGAATGTTGCCACAGTGTGACATGCTTTGTGTTTTTGACCTATATGTTACAATAATCAGTTTGTCCTTAGGTCTGAAGCACTACATCATGAAATCACTGCTAACTGTGTACATGTTAGGGAAACATGATGTGGTTAAACTCCATTTGTGAAAAGTATTACTGAGTGAAGGCACTAATTCAAAACCGTTCATAAAGATATCTGACCTTTTGACATCGCTCGCTCGCTGTTTTACCTCAAGGTTCCAGGCTGACCCACATATCACTGTTTCAGACATGCTTTTCTATGTTGCCTCAGTCACCTCAGTTAAATAATATGTTTTGTAAATGTTATTTTTGTGATTTTGGTTCTTGTTTTGTATTCTAAAGAAAGACCAAAAATAAAAACAAATATCAGAATAAGCAGTGTTTCCCTATTGTGTATGTGTCGGTATTTTTTATCCCCAAAAAACACTTGGCAGGCAGATATGAAGTGCATATGTGTAAATTATTATCAGACTGATTTTCTGATATTTTACACACTGAATGGTTGTTAACTCCAGTTGCTCATAGCCGGTTGCAGTCTTACTGTTTTAATTGGATAATTCCAGGTTTTTTGTCTGTTAATTACTTGACATGCACACATACCAACACACCTGACTAAAGCAGTTTGATAAAGCAACTTTGAAAACAAATAGGCAATAAATGCAAACTAAAATAGTCCAGGTTCTTAGAATAGATTTAGGCTTTGGAGGATAGAGGACCCATTGTAGCTCAAACTGCCCTTAACTGCAAATTAGTGATTGAGCAAATCATATACACGCAAATGCTGTGAAGTAAATTATGACCAGAAGTTGGCAGTAATACAATAAGGCCGTTAAACCGATAGGTTAAACCCATGGATGTATGAAGAGGAAGGATTCCCAGCATGCAGCGGGGCGTATGCCTGAAAAATACCCTTAGCATTGACGTTACTTCACCAGTAGGAGACAGCAGTGCATTGAACCGTGCCCAGCTTGCCCAAAAGGAGAAGAAGAAGAAGAAGAAGAAGAAGAAGAAGAAGCAGTACGTCGCCGTTGGCGCGCCAGTTTTGAGTCTGTTGTGGACTTTCTCGAAACGGGAGACCTGATTCCTGACTGAGTTCTGAGTCGACGTTAACTTGTCGGCCTAACTGTTTTAGGCCGGATTAAACCCATCGGTGTAAGTCCTGTTTACTTTAAAGCCAGCGGCCATAACTGTCGTGTACTGTAAGATAACTAACGTCAGCGTTTGTCGCTCTATTGTCATTGTGGTTACCGACAGACTGTATATACAGACACTATATATATGTACTACATATATTGGTGGGTGAGCAAATGCGCCGTTAATGTTTAGCCTACTTTAAAACTGGACGAAGAAAAAACACGCACTTAAAACGAAGTGCGTGTTTTGTATTGTGCTTAGTATGTAACATCAGCCTTGCTTTGTGTCTGTCAGGTATCATAAGAAAGATAATTCACCAGTGACGTTTGACAGTCCTCTGGTAACACAGTGTTGAGGTCTTTCCTGAATCCTCTAAGACTCATCTAACTGTGTGGATAAAAATAATCTGTCCTCTGCAGGATGAAAAATCACGCTTGGGTCAGGGCCGGATTTACCTCCTGAGGGACCACAGGGGTAAACATCCGTGGGTGGCCCTCGCTGACCCCTGCTGTACATGTCACCCAGCACTCTAGAGCTGAAATGATTAGCTGATTAACTGAATAGGTCATTGACTGAGAAAGTCAGTTGGCAACAATTCTGATATTTGATTAATCACTTGAGTCAGTTTTTAAGCAAAAATGTAAAAAAATAAAATTATCTTTCAGGGGACCTGATGTTTACCTCTGTGACTCACGAGAGACAAACTGGGGCTGGTGTAACACTAGTATGAACAAAATACCTCAACAGAGAGTTGAGTGTAACTAGTGAGCCTTAGAATGGACATATAACAATGTAAAATTTCTCTGTGTATAGTTAGTTTAGATAGTTGTATAATATAAGAGACACAAACTGGGGATACTGGTAAACGAAATATTAACTGAAATGAAAAATAATTTCACTCTTGCCAAGCAAATATAAAGCACATAACATGAGGAAGGAAACAAGGCATGAGGGATGTTGGCAAAAATATTGTTGATGTCATTATAAAGAACTGCAGCTGGATTGACAAGACAGAAATAAGGCCATAGTGCTTGTAGTGCAATATAGTAGTATTACATTGAGAGACCAATGTGTGCATCGAATCATACATGAATACAGATATGTGATAAACACTTATCTTTTTGTGTTGGCTGGTAGTTGGAGGGCTGGCTGTGTTGTAGCAGTGACTGCAGGATGAGCAGCCCAGGACCAAGCAGCGGGACAAACAAATCAGTAGAACTCTTTGAAGAATTATGGAGACAGCTTGGCGAGTGCCACCAGAATGCACTTCAAGGTAACTGACCCCATGATGTACTGTGTGCATACATCAAGTGAATTTTCAATTTTCTTATCGGTTTGTGTCAAATACTGAAATAAAATGTACTCTGGGGTTTTGTGCATCTGTTGCTGTTCTCAGAACTGGAGGCGAAAGTGAGCAAGTTGAAAAAGGAGCGCCGTTTGTGAGTATACTGTGTCACTCTGCTTTTAAAAATAATAATGATGACCCTAATAACGGAAGCATTTTTAACCCTAACTTCAGAATATTATTTGTGAATGTTTAAATGTAGTCTTCTTGCCATTATCTATCTAGGAGTGTTTTCTCTATAAGATTAAAACAGAATACCTATAAATTTTCAAGAACAGGATTCAGCATTGTTGTTTTGTCCGACCAACAATAAAACCCAGAGATATTTGGTTTAAAATTGGTTATGCCAAAGAAAAGCATCAAATCCGAGGGAATCTCATATGCACTTTGTCTGTAACGTGTTATGGTCACAATGTCTTCTATGTCACTTTTTGTTTGTCACTTTCTATTTTTTCACCAATAAAAAAACAAATCTGAGGAGCCAATATTTGCAAATATTTGCTGTTTTTTGCTTAAAATATATAACGATGGGTCAATTATAGAAATAATTTCTGTTGATCAATTGATCATTTGATCAATTAATTGTTGCAGCTAAGACTGTCACTGTTCTTGTTTTCTACAGAGATGCCCAGAGGCTTGGGTTGTTTTACAATCGCAACCAGCAACTGAAGGAACAAAACACAACCCTGCAGGACACCATCAGTCTCCTTGAGGAAAGGTAACATCCTCCCAGACAGGTTAAGTTGAAATCATATGAAACATAAAGGCAAGAAGCTATGTTCACTGTTTCCAGGCTCCGAGAAGGAGAGTGTGATCAATGTGCCATCTTAGTGGAGAACCTGAAAAAGGACCAGGACCAGAATCTGAGCCTCATCACCAAGCTGAGTGAGTTGTTCTTATTTTACTGTTTGATAGAGCAGTGGCTAACTACAGAGTAACACTACCTGTTGTGAGAAAGAAAGAGAGAGCACACAGGTGAACCTCTTATAAAAGAGGACATCGAAAATATTTTGTTTTTGCAGTAACATTAACCTTCAGGACTGTGGTTTGTGGTTTAATGTGACATGTAATGTAGTTTCAGTAAACTGTTAATCAAGCCCTTAAATGGCCTTTTATTTCCAATATACAGCCTATCAAGTTTTTCAGGCTTTCCTTTTTAGCCTCCTTAGTTCTAGAGATGGTTACATCAGTCTGGGTTTTGATCATCCGACTGTCATGGTGCCTAGAGGAAGGATCCTCCTGACTTTAGCGACCTTTTTGCTTATCCTTGGAGATATCTCAACATCTAGTGGATGGATTGGCACAAAATTTTCTACAGACCTGCATGTTATCCACACAATGAATCCTGATAACTTTTCCTCTAGTGCCATCTTTAGGTCAAAATGTCAATTTGTCCAGTACTCTGCTCTTATGACCAAAATACTGTTCTTAGTGTTTAGTGCTAATCAGCAAATGTTAGCTTGTTAACACACTAAACTAAGATGGTGAACTTGTTCAACATGTTAGTATTGTCATCTTGAACATGGAGCTCAAAGCACTATTGTGTTTAAGTGAGGCCTCACAGAGTAACTAACACTATTGCAAAATCTCAGTCTTGTCTAAATATAGAGAAGCCTCATGAGATTTATGATTGTATTATGGATTTATGTTGACTATACACTGAACCATGAGATAAAGCTCTTGGTATGTTGAAGAGCATAACGTTAGTTGTGATGAAACTCTGTTGTTTGTGATTTGTTCCACAGAGAATGAAAGAAACAGCCTGGAGGATGAAAACAGAAAACTTCACGCGGAGCTGCAGAAATTAAAGATGTCTCTGTAAGCTCTTTAGTCTGTTAAAGCCGTGTTTTGTCAACATCTTGTCTGTTCAATATGTTCAATTGTTCAACTAAACAAAAAACAGCAAATTTTTCCATATTCTGTAAAACCTGCCCAAGACGGCTCCAAACCCTGCAGGTCCTGCCGGTCCTGCAGGGTTTGGAAACAAAAAGTGGTTTCACTTCTGCTTAGGTCTCAAGTCACCGCCATACATTTCTATAGAAGGACAGGTTGAGTTATTGATTTGTGGTGTTCTTTGCAGGAACAAGTTTCAGTTCTCAGTTAGACATTACTGTGTATATTTTGTTTTTCAGCTCAGAGCACCAACAGGCCTCACCCCCAGAACAGGAGGAAGGCATCATCCCAGACTCACCTGTCCTGCCGAGCTCGCTGCCCGTGGCAAACAGACTGAAGAAACGTAAAAATATCAACAAACACAGACACGTTCATTACGCGGAACTGCCTTTACCACAGCGTGAAAAATCACTCTTCAATGGTCAGTCTACTGTAAAGTAACCTCCAGACATTTAATGTCCTTGTCTGTTTTCTGAATCCCCTGCCAGAAGGCACCCAGTCTTGTAACGTGTTGTTGTTGTTGTTGTTGTTGTTGTTGTTTCAGAGCTGAATGAGGAGCCTGATGATGCCTCAAAGAATCCTGGGAGAGCAAAAGTGCTTGTACCCAATACATGTGAACTGGACATACCCCAAATCTCAGGTATGACATCATCCACTGTACTCCTGTTAAAAAATGTAAAAACAGGAAGGACGGTACTCGTAGTTTCTAAGAGAACAGAAACTGGAAACTGTTACTTTATACAGTATTTCTTCCCTTGAGTTATTTGACACCCTGTTGTGCTCTTAGTGGTTTTGTCTGCGCTCTAGTGCGTATATTTCTGACAGCTCCCAATGCAGCACCAGGCAACATTTATCCATACAAACACACCCATCATATCAGCTTAATTCACACACAGAAAACTCTACCTTGTCGGCTCTGACTACATCCTGGTGTTAGAGCCACCTCTCTACACAGAGAGTAGAGACTGATGAGTGAACTTTAAAGCAAAATATAAACTGCCTCTGAAACATAATCCATCCAGGGAAATTGGATTTAGTCCCACTGCTGTCATCTGATATGGGAGTGATGTACAGACTGTGAGCCCTGTGTTGTGACTGTTGGTTGAACATGTCTCTGTATCTTTTCAGAAGATGTGACTCATGATATGGAAGAGGTGATTGCAGAAACCTGTGCCCTTGAACTTCATCTTGACAGTGGTCACATGGTAGGTACGGTTCATACGGGTACAGTGTAATCACTACATAATAAATGATAAATGACATAAATTGAATTTTGAAACTCTTCTGCTTCCTTATTTTTTTCTCTGCTCAGAAAACTGAAACGACTGCAGGGCAGCAAAGCAGCTCAAAAACCCTCTGGAAGAATGAAATTTGTTTAAAGTAAGGATGACAACTGTCGGGACACATTCACTTGCTGAAGAGTATCAATCTGCAAATTCGTGATTTAGTGGTTTTAAATAATGACATATAAACTAAAAATGTACAGCCACGATGTGCAGAATTTGAAAAATTCAGGCTTGACCTGGAAAAACAGTAACACAACCATGTTGGTTTTCCTGCCTCAAGGCCTTACTTCTCCTCCCCTTCATCCACCCTGATCTACAGACCAGACTCAACCACAGAAAAGTCCCCGTCTCTTCTCCCCAGAGTCAAGAGGTTTTCAGAAGGTAACTCCATTAACAAAGCAAAACGGAAGAAGGAGGGAAGTGACAACAGTCAAGGGATCCAGGAGAAGGGGGACATACAAAAGGAAGGCAAACACATGAACAGACAGACCTCAACACCTTTGAGCAATCAAAGCTTCATGAAGCAGCCACTGGACAGTAAGGTCAGAGATGTATCTGAAAGGCTCATATGAATGAGTGTCAGATAGCAAGATGAATTGCAATACCATTATCGGGTGGTGTTTGTGAACCAAATCTAGTGTCCTGGCTTCTATATCCTGTAACCAACTGTATCCATCTTTTCAAAACTTTCAGCAAGTTTAGGTTTTGAACTAAATCTTTTTTCCAAGACTCTTCTGATGTGAAAAGGTTACATTTTAGCTGTTAATGAAACATTGAACAGAATAATTCTTCAATGTTGTTTTAAATATTCTTTAACATTAAACAGGTTCAGGCAGCACAAAATGGGACTTCCAGCCAAAGGCTAAATGTTTCCTGTGCAAGTCCTGCTTTCAAGAAACCAAATGGGAAGGTTAAAGGAGAGGGGGAGGGTGATGGTAAGAAAAGACACCCCCTGCACGATCTGAACGCTTCACATGACCAACATGAAGCAGAGAAAGGTGAGTTTTCTAACCTGCTACTGTCCTTTGTGATACAAATCATTTGAAGGACAGTCAGGTAGAGTGTTTCTTCATAATATTCAGTTGAATTTTAATATGACTGTGCTAACTGTGCTTTCTTAACTGAAGGGAAGCACAGAGTGGAGCCCATGTGGAGCATTGACCCTGCACTCAACATGTCCATGTATGACAGTGAGTGGAGAGGAGACGAGGTACAGTCACATGACCTGCTACTTAGCTACTGAGCCTTGTTTTAGCAATAAAGCTGCATTGTTCTGAACAAAGAGGATTATAAAGAGTCCTTCATTAAATATGAATTGGGTGAAGCATGAAGTTTTTCCAAATGTTAGGTCTGTTGACAAAACTTTTTTTAGGGCTGCAGTCTGATGTACTGTTAAGCAAACATCCTGTCAGCTGTAAAGTGACAGCCTGTGATTGCTGGTCCTATTTGCTAGTGAAGTTTTTCTGTGGTTGACACCTATCAGGAATCCATAGACTTCTCGTGAATGTGACTGTGCATGAAAAGTGAAAAAGTCTGAAAGACATTGGTGATGTCTTGTCACTGGTATTCATGTGGATATATGGAGTCTGACACAGGTTTTGTTTGTATTTTAGCAAAAAGAAACACAGTGTCATGGAGAACTGGCAGATACTGACTGCACCTGGGTCAGTCACAGCTTACTCCAGCATCGGGACAGGAGGGACAGTGTATCTGGTGAATATAAACCTCAACCTTTAGAATAACTGCTCACTGAAATGTTGTAATTGACACAAGCTGATACTGTCTTACCTGCAGAAACTGATAACGCGCTGTGATTAAAACGTTTTATTGACAGTTTCACGTGTGTTGTTTTCAAGGACTTGGCGGAAAGGCCAACGACAGTTTGGATATGATGTTCGACACTACAGCTTACGGGGAGTACAAGTCTTACAACAGTTCACACTTAGGCCAGAGCCAGCCCTGTGCCAAAGATGATGGCGATGACGATGATGATGAAGAAGAAGAGGAGGAAGAAAAAGACAGTGGTAGGGTTTCAGACTAAGAGGAACTGAGTGTGTGTTTGTCATCAGTTTGACCAGTATTTCTGTGTTTGTCATCAGAGGTGAGCTCTTGAAATTAGCTTGTGTTTGTTTCCCAAACTAGAACGAGATCCTCCTGAAAACTCTCCAGGTCAAAGTAAAGCACGGTGAGCCTTACTGTCTTACACAGTAGTCGGGGGGTATTCTTACTGGGCTTTGGTTGTTGTATATTTATGCTTTGTGTTACATTTGAAGGTTAACAGAGATGAGGAGAAGTAGCAGACAGACTTAAGTTTTTAGATTCCAGGCTCACAGACGTTGTAAGTTTCCCACCTATATGATCTCTCTCTGGATCAGACACCCAACATTTGCACACGTGGCAGTATTTCGTAAGAAAGACGAAAGAAGAAAACTGAAGGGCACTACCTGCAAGGAATGTGAAATTGTAAGTATTTTGACTATGAAGCTAAATAACACTGACATGTTTTAACAATGATTCTATTTAAAGTATGTTTTTTTTCCTCCAGTATTACGCCCATCTTCCAGAGGAGGAAAAGGAGAAAAAATTGTCTGCATGCTCAAGGCACCGTTTTCTTTACATTCCTCCTTGTACTCCTGAAAACTTCTGGGAAGTTGGATTTCCATCAACACAAACATGTATTGAAAGAGGTAATTTAACATTAAACCACTGTGATACATTAGCAGAACATTTTATCCCACATGCTCTGTCGCACTATCTTCACTTTCCTTTCCTTGTTTGTAGGTTATATCAAGGAAGAGAAGAATCCTCAGGTACGTTCACGGAGAAGACTACCACTCAATGCTTTTTTTTCCCCAAAGCAGGAGAGAAACCAGGAGAGCTGAAGAAGTTTTCTGTTCGGGACTGTTTGAATCGACCCATTTACAGCAAAAAAACATATGAAGAATGTTGTTATATTTAATTTCAACATGTTGTCTTTAACTGTAAAAGTTTGTTTCTGTAGATACTAAATATGCTTAGCATATGTTTAGATAAATAAAGGTTACCTACATGTCTATGGAGGGTTGTACATGCTGCAGTTCTTCATTCAGTCGGATTGAACATAATCAAGTGTTTAACTCAACGATATCAAGATCCTGTGAAGCACAGTAGTAACTACACTGTATATGAAGAACATGTTTCTTTTACTTTTACTGCATACTTTACTTTTACTTAAATCTAACTTTAATGCTTTTTGTTGAAACTTATTTCAGTCTTTGTTCAACATACAGTGTATCAGTTTACCTGTGAGATTAGAGTACAATGAAAAGACAGTATGTACACAAAGATTATTTTATTTGGTCAGCAGGTTATCAGAGTACACAGAAAAGATTAGAAAAATATTTTCTTTTAAATTTCTAGAAAAAAAAATCTCTTCATGCAGTGCACATTGTGGTTCATCACAACCGAGGTTCTCTGTCCGAATACACCAGCAGGGCCTCGCCAACATGGCTGATGACCACACTGTAACCAAATAATAAAAATACGAACAGTTTAATGATTCATCTTGTTCAAAGATGTTTGGAGGTTTCAGAAAGGTTACATTTAAAACATTTTAATCTGAGAAAAAGTAGTAAATAACTTAAGGTTGGACATAAAGAAATCTGAACAGTGAATCAAGTTACACCATGCATTTAGTTAATTAGATATATTTCAAATCAACGTTTCGCACATTTTTCTTTTTATTACAAAAAACAAACACTGGATTCAATAATAATTTCACATGCAGATATCCTTCAGAACTGTCACTTGGATCAGTTTATAGACCGAGAAATAGCTCTACTCACATATCAGACTTTTCTGACAGCTAAAACAAACACACCTACACATCACCTAGGGGGATTAAGGCAGCTGAGCTACTCACCACATCAAAGATGGAACATTAATGTCCATGGAGAAAATGAATGGGGAGAGGGACATCGCAGTAACCTGCGAAGAAAAGATTACAGAATATGACTACTTTTTATCTGTTTGATTTCACATAATCAACCATTTTGTTACAACATTGATGCTTTAAATCATTTAAGCTTTAGGTGATGACTCAGAAACATAATGATACTCTCTGTCTGACTGGTTAGTGTGCCATTCTAATGTATTTTACCATATGATCAGTATCATAACTAAATATAATAAAAATGTCACTAACGCACCTTTGACAAAAAAATCCAGATCCCAAAGTGCTCCAGGGACAAGCCACTTTTCAGTTTGACTGTGGCCAACAGCAAAAAGAACCCCAGCAGTGCACTGTGGTATAAGAGACAGCTGTGATCAAAGTTATGGCACTCAAAATAAATAACACCAAAACAGTTTAGTTTTAAATTAAAACACAGAGCTGTATCATTTGGACAAAAAGTGTGAGACCTTTACTGATAAAGGAGTATCTAGTATGAAAACTAAAATGAAAACTTTTTAGTACCAAAAATCGTTTCAATGTAGTTTTACGGCTCTCTCGGGCTTCTCTCTGGAGCTATAGCAACAACAGGTCAGTCGGGTGGCGACTGCTTTGTTGTGACATCACAACGTTACAGAAGTTCTGATGGCTTGTTTTAAGGCTCAGTTTCTGAATATGGGCTGTGTGTATTTCTCTGTGGACTAAGCGCGTTGATACTTACTAACTACATACTAACAGTATTAACATAGAACCAAGACCTATAATAGAAATCTCACTTTACACAATATCAGACCTTTAAGGTCTCAGGCTGCAACTCAAACATTTTTCCAGGACTTTATTACTCAATAATCAACTTTCTGTACAACCATATAAATTAGTGCTGTGTCTGTAGGCCTCCACAGGTTATAAATAGTTCACTGCTTCCCCTCTCTGAGATCACGTTGGCAGTCTGGGCTCTTCATCAAATGACAAATGGCACCTAAAATATTTTGTATTTTGATCCTGTACAATGTATTCTGTACTAGTGCTGTGATTCGCATTAACCAAGGAGATCATTTGGTGGAGCTGCTGTTCTGCACAAAAACAGTCTCAGTGCAGAACCCTGGATGATCTGATATTGATCACAAAAACCAAGCTCTACTGAATATACAGTAAATACAGAATCATGTGCTGACCAATTAGAAAAGAAACAAAACTAGAAAAATACCTGGCACAGCAACCACAGTGAAATGTGTGAGACTGAAGGGAGGGGAACTCCATGGCTCCAATGAGGTCACCTATGGAGAAACAAAGGTACAAATGTCGAAACAGTATGAGAGTTACAAAAAAAAAAGACCATATGAGAACATATAGTCTACTAAGTGATGCACTAATAAAGTAAAAGAGAAATGATTCCAGCTTTTTTATCTCAGCATTGAAATATGTACCATCTGTACAGAGTCATTCATACCTGTTGGATGAGCAGCCACAGCCAGCAGCAGCATGCTGTTAATTACAGGCAGGAGAAGCTTTATTTAGTGACTCATAAACCATGAAGCGGCACTAGGTAATATTTTTATGTTGTAATGTGCACAAATGGAAATCTTTGTCTTCTCACATGAAATGATTCAAAAAAATTTGTGGGTTTTTAACACAGCTGTTGACGAGTATCACCACAGCAAATAACTCACTCATTTAAAAGAGATTATAAGTATTCAAGTTTATTCAGAATGTTTTCATGAAGGTGATTAAAATAAATATAGGTTTAAATATAACAGGAAATTCCTGATTCCTGTACATCGACTTGTGCAGGCCCTTTACCCACACTCCTAACTCTTTTAGGATTCAGCTCTGTGATTAACAGAAAAAAATCTGAGTGTTCTTGTTAACATTGACTCATTGTGCTCCTCCTACAGTAAAGGCAAGAGAGGTACATGGACCATCTGCATGTTGCATCATGTTTTTATGAGGTGACAGTTATGAAATAAAAGAAATAAATAAGTAAATGAAATAAATATAGATCATTGATTAATTAACATGTCTCAACTTTGTCAGAATGTTTAAACTTTTAACAATTAAAGTGGCTTGCACTTATGTCTCTTTATATACAAAGTAACTTTAATGTAACAAAACACTTGAGCCTCAGAACCATGTCATTTATAATCGTTTATTCTTACCTGAACAAGTAGTTGATGCACTGTTGTTCAAGGTCACTAAAATGAAAGCATCACCAAAAGAGTGAGTCAGTGTGTTAGTGGGGGGTTGACAACTTTGAACTGAGAAACTGAACTTTATGTAAAAGAAGGAACAGAAGAGACACACACTCAGATGGGCTCAGACTTACCCCAAATTACTGGGCTTGTAGTGAACTTGAAACACCCTGTATGCACCTGAAACATCAACCAGGACACCTCAGGAATTATTATTTTATTTTATTTGTTATTGTCTTTGATCTATTTTACAGTTTTTAAATCTGTTCTATTAGTTTAATCAGTTTTATTCCTTGTGTGCATCAGTCTCAAACTGATTTTATACTCTCATCAGTCACTTGTAGAGCACTTTGACCTGCACTAACCTGTATGAAAGTTCCTGAGGAGGATGTAAGGTATGAATGTAAGGTATCAGCTGTGACTGATTAACTTACCAACACAGAACAGATGACCAACAGCCCACAGGTAACCTCTGGAGTCAAACTACAAAGAAGCAAACAAGTGAAGACACTAGATTAATACCACCAAACGAACAAAAACTACCTGGATTCCTTCAACCAAGAACAGTTCAAAATTCAAGCACCATTAATAAAAAATTCATGATCTGATTTTAATGTCTTAGTACCTGAGGAACATAGAGGGGGAGGTTGATGGCTGAAAGCAGCATGAGACATATGCTGTAGAGAGAAGAGCATTTAAAGATGCAGTCATGTAAGAGGGAACTTTGTATTTCTAATATAACATATGATATATCTGTTTATTACTGTTTTATTGCTGATTCAGAGCTGGAAAACTGGTTTCCATGCAAGTTTGTTCATCAACTTTATTAAGATTATCACCATTACTGTTGTTTTTCATGTGAGAAATGAAGAGTAGAGTATTTTAATCCCACCCTCTGCAACCTCTGTGTACTTGTCATAAAAGAAAAAGCACCAACCTGATAAATTTCAGCCACTGCATCTTCTGTTGGTGAAGAGAGAGATGAGAGTGACATGTCAGAGCACTATGCATTCATAGTCCGTAGCTGTGAAGACTAGCCAAGGTCATCTTCCTTCATTTGCTGCCATGAATAATAATACATACAGTACAGTATGTTATGCATGGACTCACCTCTCTATGGACAACCTTCAGAATTAAGTAACTGACAACATGAGATGAATTCTGAAGAGTGAAGAAATAAGGGATGTCCTGCACAGAGAGCAAATGGACGTCAGAGTTAGCTGATATGTCCAGCAGGTATGAATCCTGAACAAGGCCACAGTCTTTTATATCATTTAGAATATAGTTAATGTGACTGACATTATTAAAATGTAAGAGGTTATATGACGTACGATGCGTGATAAAGCCCTGGAACCAGCATATATGTTTCCTACAAACAGAAGGGAGGCTGGGAGCCACGGCAGAGCTGCTGATCTGTAACACAACATTAAAACATATCAAGCAAAGCTCTTAATAAACATGTCTGCTTGCAGCTGTATGTGAATCCTACAGTAGTCTGCAAAGCGTACCTGGTGATGCGGCTCATCTCCACCCATCCCAACTTCCCAAAGAGGAGAAGAAGAACAGCCCCAATAAATGTCTGCCATCTGAAAACATACATTTTTGTCCTATTAGTGAACATAAACCATATCAATCACTCATTTACATGATGCACACAAGAGGTTTAACATTAACCAAGATGTAGATTTAAAAATCTTTAAAAACATTTTTCTAAAATTAAACATTTTAAAGATTCAAAGACTGCAGAGGTGAAACAACTAGTGGATTAATCAATTACCCTATCTACAAAAAATAATTGGCAACTCTTTTTATAATCAATTTATCATCATTTGTTGACGACAGCACCTTGAGCTTCAGGAGACTGTCACAGTCATTTTTCCCGTTTTCTGGCACTTTAGAGACAAAAATATCATTGAAGAAGTGATCAGCAAAATTAATCAATAATGAAGAGAATCACTAACCACAGCGCTTATGAACTAGTACATGTATTTCCAGGTGTTGAGGTGAGGCTGTAATGACCAGGAAAAGGTAAAACATGAGTTGCTTTCACCTGCAGTATTTACCTTCAACTACTCACCCTTGGAATAAGGTTGGATACGTGAAATTTAAGACAGACAGGACGAACTGAAAAAAGAGAAAAAAGGTGCAATTCAACTCATTTCCTCCTGTGTGCTTTGCATAACTTTAACTTATAAATCTGAAAGCAGGAGTTGCTCCACCACTGACAGCCTGTCAAAATTCTGCCAATTCAAAATGTCCAAACCTACCCACAGAGGCCTCATCCCTTACTCTGACTTAACTCTGACTATGTTATTGATTATTGGTGGGCTTTTTTACAACTTCTTAGTTTTCATTTCCTGCAGTAGTTTTCTACCAAAATAAGAGTGGAGATGTGTTGCTAGTGCTGCTTTGATGGGTCACGTTCATGCCTGATCAGTCAAAGTAATTCGTAAGGGTCTTAAACCATGTCCACTTTATGGTTATAATTGATAATGAGGGTATAATTGTAATTTTCCACGATTTTCCAACAGATTTTCAGCACTGATCACCAGGAGCTCTTTATCCTGTGTTCAGGCCGCAGAGAAGTTTTAACAGTATAGCTGTGTCCTGGTTAAATAGTTCGATCAGTGAATAACAGTCTAGCTTTGACTCGACTGAAGAAGAATGTGTCTCCGACCAGGTTTTAGCGCCTGACAGCCTCATGTTATAATTGGTTTTCTGATCTCACTCCGCTGAACACTCTCTCACCTTATTGGTGAAATGAGACACAACAAAAACGAAGCTGAAGGCGAAGCCGCTCATGTGTCTCCTCCACTGCATGTTGACCTGCCGCCGCTCTGCAGCGAGGACATGATTCCTGACGAAAAGACTAAAGACTAAAGACTAAATGCGAAGCATGAAGCCTGTTTCAAACTACAGACGTTTCAAGATCGAAACTTCCCTCATCCTCCCGGTGACACGTCAAGACGTCGTCAGACAAAGATCGTCTATGTTGGGGATCCTCTCTAATGTGTGTGACGTTGCAGCTTCCTGCATGAGCAGGAAGAAGCCAGCACAGCAGGCAACTGGCCGGGGGCCCCAGACCTTCAGGGCCATAAAAGTCCACATCATTTCTGTCTACATAATTTGTTGACATTTACAACACTTGAATCAGTGGGTCCGTCTCAGTAGGTCCATCATTCAGGCACACTTCCCCATGTTGTGCTGGCATGAAAACAAACACAATATGGATGTGTCAGTCATCTGCAGTTAGAAAATATGAAATATGTGTGAAAGACAAACAGAAAAAAAATTCCACTAATATCAAATGTTTCAGTGGGCTCACATGGACCGCAGGGGTCAAATAGATGAATCATTCATCAGTTATTCAATTTAACCTACTCTGATAATCATCTTATTCACTGAATCATTTTTCAAGCAAAGATGCAAATATTTTTCCTTGTTTTGAACTTTGAGAATTTATTAACTCTCTCTTTTTATATCAATTCAAATATAGGCCTATTAATAAGTTTATTATTGAACTGAATAAAAAGGTAATAATGAATATGTTTGTATTTGTATTTGGGGTTTTTGGCCGAGTTATTTTAAGACGTGGAATCAAATGAATCCATGATGATGATATTTCAGCCCTAAATCAAACAGTGAGGAGATTACTGAGGCAGTTTATCCTCACGGAGATAATGAAATAAGTAGAAACAAGCAGAGATTTTACCAGCAGCACTGAAAGTTCCTTTTCTCATGAGTTTATTTGAGTGACAGGGTAAACTTATTTTTTGACATTAAAGGCACACTCCACTGATTTCACTCATGAAACCCAGTTTACTTGTCATGAGGAGTTATTCATGTGAAAACAGTGAAGTCTGAACAGTGGACAGAAAGCCTGCATCACAAAACGGGACGTGTTTAAAAGATGTGGGCGTTTGTGTAATGAAAGGTAGTTTTGAACTGCATTGTGGGAACTTTAGTATCGAATTTTTGGAGCTTAACACATAATAGATAGTGTTATGAATGAGTCCATGCTCAGTGCAAATTATGTTATAATTATTCAGATTATAAAAGCGTGAGTCCTACCGATGGATATTTAGATCTATTACCTATTACACCCATCACATTTCAGAGCATTGCACCAGTCATAATGTCATTATGATACACATATAATTTCATAACACGTATACAATACGTATACAACAAGTTGTTGTCAATCTTAAAAAAACAGTTAGATATGTGGAACTTTATAAATGATAAGGTAACATAAATAACTTTTCCAGGATGCTAGTGACAAAGTGAGGGCGCCTGCAGCTCTGCCACATTTCGCTCTGCAGTGCTGGTACCCCGAAACAGAGTCAGAGTGAAGCCTCTGTGTGTAATCTTTGTGGAGTCACGTGGTTTCCTGTGGGTTTCCGTGTTTACAGAGATCTGCGGCTGTTCGGAATTCAGTTTCTGGAGAGGAGAGTGAGCAGTCATGGCTTTTTTAAAGACGCAAGAACGGACTAAAGAAAGGTCAGCGATACTTCACCTGTCTGTCCCTGTCAGTGTTTCTAACGGGGGGTGGTTCTGTGTGTTGGTGTGTGTGTTGGTTTGTGTCAGTCCCTGTTAACGCCAGGCTGGGCCACTCAGCTAATGAGAGCTTCGCTGTCAGCTGTGTGATGCGCTGTTGTGACTGATGCACGATCAGCAGGGGTTCAGTCTACAGACTGACCGTATCCTAGACTCACAAAACCGGGTTTAAGTGTAGAAATGAGCCTAGAAGCTCCATCTGAATTGAGGGGAGCAGCAAAATTCATCGACAACAAGGTTCAATTCCTGAGATGTGAAGCCGGAGAGATGTGAAAGATGTGTTGTTGGCCCTCATGTTGGCCCTCATTATACATGGCAGTTTCATTATTTTCTCAGACACCCAGAATGGATTGATTGTGAGTAAATTGTTTGTTTTTTTTAAGAAAAGTGCTTCCAGTTTCTCACGTAAATATTTGTTAGTTTGTCAAATGACTAAATATAAATATAAACTAAATAAAGTTTCTCTGAATATGTTCACTCAGGCTTCAGGAAACAACGTTTTTCACTGTTTTCTGACATTTTATTTGTTTTATCAGATGTATTGATAATGAAGATCATTGCATTAAACAACCAATTAAATAAAACACAATTTTACAGCAAATGAGAAACAACTACAAATAAACAGTTCAGATCTTAAAACCAGTCTGACATGTAGAGTCCCTCTACATAACTGGGGCCACATGGAGAATGTGTTACAGCTGATATTCTACTTCAGTGGCACAAATTTCTGACAAATTTGTCAAATTATATAGACAGAAATGATAAGGGGTAAACTTGGGGCTTGGGTCTGGGGTTTTGACTTGTCTGTGATCCAGCCTTATTCCCACAATATATCTTATATCGACCACAGTGCATAATGGAGCACTTAACAGCCGTTGTGAACAATTGGAAAAGTAGCATCATGCTGAATAAGTCCATAGTGAATTACATATGAACCAAATATACCACAAGAGCAAGAGACTCCTTAAAAGCACTGAGTGTCCAGAAGGCTCAGTCAGTGCAGTTTTACTCAGAGCCACTTTGGCCTGTGCGCATGTGGACATATTTTTAGCACAAATGGGATTCCGTAGTCTGGGAGACGAGTGGAGGATAATGATGTGCTATCCACAGACCGCCGCTGGGTTTACAATTTAGATTTTAAAAAATCAGTGTGCGTTGATGTCTCATCTGTGATGTTATCCAGATCAGAAACAATCACTTTACTGTAGTCATGCACTGATCCGACTCTTTCCCTCCTGACAGTGATTCAGAAACCTCAGCTCAGAGTATTAAGTACTGACCCAATACCAGTGCTGTGTTTTCTGTGATTTATATCAGTATATTCTACCTGCATGGACCTCACCAGTGCCATTTTCATGTAAGGTAACATGAGGCGAGCGACTGCAGTGGCACTAAAAACTGAGCCCCCTCAATGAACTGGTGGAAACACTGAATTCTACAGTGAAATATGACAAAGAAACTGGAAACAAAACTTTTAAAGGAAGATTCAGGTATTTTACGACCTGGGTCTTATTCTTATTTATAGCAGTCCTGATGAATGAGTCGTGCTGACTTTGTACTTGCTACCGTTGTTGTAAGGATTCAGACTGAAAAAACAAACTCAAAAAACAATGTATATCAGCTCCCAGCAGTGTGAGGCTCCCTGAAGCTTTTCAGATAAACTGAAAACTGTATTTTTACGTCACTTGGATATCTGAGTTTCACTGTGCAGAGTTTGTTTTCACCTTAAATCAATCTGAGTTTAACACCTGGACGTACAAGCATAAGGTCTGGAGGTCAGTTATGGCACAGAATGCAATGAAGTGTAACATTGAGACTTGAAACCTCTAGGTCACAAACACTGTGAACAGACTTTTCAGTGACATTTTGTGTCCAGCAGTTTCACTTTTGAAATGAAAATATTGGCAAATTCATAGATTCTGAATATTTCAGTGAGTGCAAAGTTGTAGATGTAATTTTAAGAAATTTTAACAAGGTGACAAAAAAGTTATTATTGCAAGCAGGGGATTTTTCTTTATCTTGAAACATGACTGAAAGGGTCTTAAAACTTTACACAAGTCAACCATTTGTCTGAACAGAGGTAAAGATAGAAACCAGCTGTGGATTAAGTATTGTTAGCTGGAGATCTGCTTCCAGGGCAGCTACTGAAACACCTGCCTGTTTATCTGTCCACGCTGATTCATGTGAGCAAACTTGAGATTTAGCAAAGACCGATATGTACATCATCAGAGTGTGTCCCTGCATGATACTGTAAATAGGGGAAAACTGCCTGAAAAAGAAAAAGCTTTACTGCAGCTCCAGAATCTCTTTTTCTTACGCTGTATGTTACCGAGGCTAACCTTTTCTCCAAATCCAGAGCCAGAACTGATGATGACATTTATGCAGTCACTGTGTACAAAATGACGCTTGCATATTGAACAGCCACTGATCAAACCTGCAAATCCAGTACAGGTCACACTTAACATTCACATTGCTTTGACTTTCAGCACTGAACACAGCACTTTACATTTAAAAGCGCGTTTCTTAATCACCTTAAATTTTAGCTGCATTCACACGTGTAATTGAACAACAGTTTCCAGATTGTGTTTTTCAGCTGATTGTTATTGAAAATCTAGGTCGGTCTCACTGTCGTCAGTACCAGCAGTACTTATGTAGACAAACCTGTGACTGCATGAGAGGAGCACTCCTCCTGTAACATCATCAGACTGATGATGCACAATCTAATTCCAGCAGAACCAGAGATATCATCTTTCATTTTGAGCATTCTTCTCTCTTGTCGAAGCCTGCCTACATTACCCATAAAGCAAGTGGAGCCAGTGACATCACCTGAGGTCATGTATCTGACAAAAGGTTTTATTCAGCTGCGTTCCTATTTAATAACTTTGCTGTTAAGTGTTTGTCCCCTCTGTTAAAGACCTGTCAGTAAATGTAGGAGTGATCCTGTTTATTTGTTTACTTCAGTACTGATTTGACCCTGTTGTTTACAGCATGTTTAACACTGTGCAGTTGTCTCATGTCATCTCACTCTACTCTATTGTTGTTTCTCCGCAGATTTTCTCTCTTGCTGCTGGATTTGGAGGAGTATTACTTTGAACAACACACTGCAAACCACATGACAAGCAGTTCAAAAAAGGAGAGGTAATTTAGATTACTAACAGCAATGCTTCATCTGCTAACTAATGACTTCAAACACCACACAAATTACAAAGGCACTTAATTATTAAGACTGATTCTAAATGGTGGATGGAGTTTGTTGTGTCATGTTCTTAAAAATACCCACAGCCTCAGAATCAGTGGCTGAAAACCAGATTAGGTTTTAACTTGTTAGATGGGTTTATAGTGTAATTATAGTTTTATTTTGCTTTACTGTCATGGTTCAGGTACTCATGTTTGTCTATAGCCTCTGGATTTCA